GTTGTTTAAAAAATGATCTATACAATTTTTGTTCACTTTTATCTGTTCTACTTATATTTTTCTTTTTGTATGTCTTACACGGGACGTCCTGTATACCTCATATCTTAGGAATTATTCCATAAAAATGAAAAAGTTCATTTATTTCAAGGGGCTATTTTAACCCCTAAACCTCGAGATAAGCCGATGTAAAAAAATATGGGTCTCTTACTTTTTGATATTCTACAACATATCTAAAGCGCATCAAAATCAGTGAGGGACAGTTCTGTCAGGTAAGATCTTTGTAAGACGTAGTCCCCACCTTTGGGCCTATGAGATAGACCCGCGAGCAATCGTCCATTAATCGTCCATTTTCTTCGCCGGCCGCGTCGCGTTTTCTTATTAGCCCAACTATTTTATTTAATAACTCGAAATTTTAAATGGTTGTTTAAAAGAAGACACTGATTCCATTACTCACGCCGAGCTATTCTAATTATATATTAACTCTGATACGGTACGAATCAGACATCCTATATAGTATAGTACAGGGTATCCCAGAACTGGTAGAATACCCGTTAGGCATAGGTAGGAGGTGAAAGTTACTCTTCCATTTTTGGATTCAATAATTAGTTAATGAGATATTAATTAATTAAATCTGCCAATTCCTTAGCGCCCCGAGTGAGCGGTCAGGGCCGCAGAACATGGGCTCCTCAGGGACTCTGCTTGTCCGTTTTTCTCCCCTTTTTTGTCACAGGGGAATAAATATGGATGATTGAGTAAGTGGGTGCCTGATGAGGGTTAGAGGGGTTGCAAGTTTTCAATATGTAATGTGTGGGTGTTTTTGTGTACGGTTATGAGTCCATGGATAATTTTAATTCAGCAAACACAATAATATAACAGTTACATCATCATAATATAATGAAATGTAACATGCAATATAATACGTTTGTTACATGTAACATACACATTAGTTATAATTTCTTACTCAAATGATATTGCAACTATATAACAGAAATATAACGTGTTACTAAAATATTATACAGCTGTTATAAATATTACTGAAATGTTTTATATCTGGAATATAAATTATTATTTCCCAGCAATTATAAGTATTTAATTGTACGCAGAGATAAGCTATCACTGAAATATCAATTAATTTGTAAAAGTATGCTCCTAAAAATTTTATAATTATATATTTCCCATCAAAAATATTTTTACTAAAGATAATAACATAAAAGTATCTTGCTATTCTAATTAATTAGTTCTCAAATAACACAAGATATTCCAGAATCATCCTAGAGCTATTCTAGATGTCTAGTATCCTAATATGTCCTCAGGCATTTTATATTATTGAAACTATTTTCATTTATTCATTTTTATCTTTCTGTACATATTCAAATAGAAAGAATTATTATTATAACAGTAATTTCCATCAATCGAAAAGTCCACTTCATTTTACTATAAAAGTGAACTCTATAACTCAAGTTGTATAATCATGTGATCATCATTTTTATACATATTAATGCATCACATTTTATATATAAGAATGACACGAGAAAACGGAAGCCATCCAGCAAATAATCCGATCCCTAGATATAAGAATGCTAAATAATGTAGATGTAATGCAAATAAACGCTCGTTATACAGGGTATCTGACTCGTATTATACTAGAGTTAATATATAGCTAGAATAGGTCGGAGTGAATAATGGAATCGGTGTCTTTTTTTAAACAACCACGTAAAATTTCGAATTATTAAATAAAGTAGATGGGCTAATTAGAGGTGAAACATACGACTCGCCGGCCGCGGCGAGCCGTATGTCCCGCCTGTCATATCGCTGAGCTCTGATTATCCCATCTACTTTATTTAATATCTCGAAATTTTAGGTGGTTGTTTAAAAAAAGATACCGATTCCATTATTCACCCCGATCTATTTTAGCTATATATTAGCTCTCGTACGGCACAAATCAGATATGTACAACATATTATATTTTAGTTATGTTGGTGTTATATAATTATAACCTGTAAATAATAAAAAATTATAACAGTTCTAAAACACAGTTAGATTGCAGTTATAAAAGAAAATTATGTAACTTTAACATTAATAACGTATAATGTCCATTATATTACATGTTACTTCTATGTTATATAATAGTTATATTTTGTGTTTGCTGTGAATGTTTTTAGTGGCGAGTGGGTTTTATATGCCGGAAGAGGAGGATATGTGTGGTATGCTTCCTTCGAGTGCGTGAGTGACTTGAATGTTCTCTGCATGTCGGTGGTTGAATACCGTGAATGATTTTAGTATGTGTGTACAAAAAGGGAAGAGAAACGGACGAGCAGGGCTCCTGAGGAGCCCACGGCGTCCTACGTCATTGAGCGCTCACTCGGGACACTAAGGGATTGGCAGAATTAATTAATTAATATCTCATTAACTAATTATCGGATCCAAAAATAGAAGAGAAACTTTTAGTTCCAAATTGCACTCTCTTTCAGTTCCAAATTGCTTACTCTTAACAGGTGTTCTACTAGTTTTGGAACACTCTGTATACACATATATACAGGGTGTCCCGCATAAGACATGCCAAAAGAAAAATATAAGTAGAACAGATAAAACTGAACAAAAATTGTAGAGGTCATTTTTCAAACAACCACGTAAAATTTCGAGATATTAATAAAAATAGTTGGACAAATTAGAGCGCGCGACGCGACGGGCGGGACATACGGCTCGCCGCGACCGGCGAAGAAAATGGACGATTGCTCGCGGGTCAATTTCATAGGCCAGAGAGGTGGGCCGTTTGCTAGCATATGGAAATGGAAAGCTCCGTATATGTGGCCGTGTACATGTGCACTCTGAACGACGGGCGACGAGTAACAGAAGGAGGTAGATATATGACATTCCATCTCTTTCTCTCGTGCACACGTTATTCTTTTCACAGTGACCGTCACGGCA